CTGGTTTCACACTCAGGCACTGTGCACTCCCCTCCCCAACATCTGTAAACGTTCTTCGAGGTGCAGGTAGGACCGTCCTTGAGAACCACTGGTGCGTAAACTCTCTACATCGATCAGACCGACACGGTGGCTGCGACAATGGGCTCAAACATCAGAACTGGGAGGATGGCCCAGGAGCAAGTAATGCTTCCTTCTTTTGTACATAGGGTGGTTATGAGTAAGAACTAACTCAACAGCACCTAAAAACAACAACAACAACAACAACAACACGAAGGGAATATAAAATGTAACAATCTTGCTGTTAGGGAAATCACAATTCAGTCAAATCAAGTCATATTATTCTCCCTCACCCCTGTCGCTTGGTTAAATGTGTGCCTTGTTTTCATAAATTCAAGATAACTTGTTTGAGATGTTATGACTGGTTTTAGAGTTCGGGTATCAGAAGTCTTTGTAAGATGGATAAAGTTAACTTTACGAACATACAGGTAGGAAATTCTTCCCCAAGTGGCACAGTGAAGGTAAAGAATATAGGAAGTCATTGATAAGAAGGCTGCTTTTGCTGAAGCAAACTGAAGCAGTAGATTATGTAAAGGAGAAAAATAATAACCCTGGAAATGCAGTCGGGTAAGCTTTGGATTATTAACCGCAAGGTCAGCGAATTGAACCAACCAGCCACTCCTCAGGAGAAACATGAGGCTGTCTCCTTCTATAAAGCTTTACAGCCCCAGAAACCCAGTGGATCACCACGAGTCAGGGTTGACTCTAAGGCAATTGGCAGAACCTGAGCAAATGCTGCTTCTCTCTACCAGGCAATTCTAAGCACGTTACATACATTATCTCATATAATTGTCATAGCAATTCATGTTACTCACATCTTACAAATTAAAAAAGGTTTCCAAGAAAGAGAATATGGTTCCTTAGATCACAAAGTTTCAAAGAGTTATGCTAGGGTTTGAACCATGCCTGAACTTAATTTCTATACATCTTGATAAGATGATCTTGATAGTTTTGATTGAGATGGTGCTGGTCTTGAAAAACTGCCAACCTATTTCATCCCCATCTTACCTTTCACAAAACCTTACAGTCAAAGTCATCACACTTAAAACTTTTCAAATAAATTTCCAAATCCGGGGGTTTTGTTTCTAAGATAGTTCACCAGTTTGATGACTGCAGTGCTTGTAAACAGTTCCTCCAACAATCAAACAACTCCATCCCCCCAAACTAAAAAAACAAATAAATTAATTACCATTCAGTTGACTTTACTCTCCTGGTGACCCCTCTCCTGGGCTGCAGTCTTGATGGAAACAGGTGATCAGGTTTTGCTCAGTGGGTTTGAAATGCCAATCTTTTGGTTAGTAGCCAGGGACAAACCATTTGCGCTACCCAGGATTTTATAGCAAGCAACTAGAGAGTCTCAGGTTTAATGGTTGTTATTTGGTGACAACCCCACCATACATATACTGAGCTTTTTGCAAAGACCTTAAGCTTCCTGGAAAACCTAAAATCTTAAATAAACACATTCATCTTCTCTATTCTTCTACTTGTGAGCAAGAACCAATGGTGCTGATGGAAGAAGTTCACGCTGCACTGATAGCATTAGCCAAAAACAAGGCTCCAGGAATTGATGGAATACCAACTGAAATGTTTCAATAAGCTGATGCAGCACTGGAAGCACTCACTCATGCATGCCAGGAAATTTAGAAGATGGTCACTTGGCCAATTGACTGGAAGAGATCCATATTTGTACACATTCCAAAGAAGGATGACCCAACAGAATGCTCAAATATCATTGATATCACATGCAAGGAAAATCTTGGTGAAGATCATCCAACATTTGCAGCAGTACAAGGAGTTGCCAGAAGTTCATGATAGACACCTGAAACAAGGGACATCATTGCTGATGTCAGATGGATCTCAGCTGAAAGCAGAGAATACTACAAGCATTCAATTTTGTGGATCATAACAAACTATGGATAACCTTGAGAAGAATGGGAATTCTACAACATTTCATTGTGCTCATGAGAAACTTATACATGGAACAGGATCAGGAAGCAGTTGTGAGTTTAGAACAAGGGAACACTACATGGTTTAAAATCAGGGAAGGTGTGTGACAGGATTGTAGCCTCTCATACTTATTTATCTGTATGCTGAGCAAATAATCACTGAAGCTGGCTTATATGAAGAAGAATGTGGTATCAGGATTAGAGGAAGGCTTATTAACCTGCGATATGCGGACAACCTTGCTTGCTGAAAGTGAAGAGAACTTGAAGCACTTGCTGATGAAGATCCAGGATTGCAGCCTTCAGTGTGGATTACAACTCAGTGTGAAGAAGACCAAAATCATCACAACTGTATCAATAGATAACATCATGATAAATGGAGAAAACGTTGACGTTGTCAAGGATTTTGTCTTGCTTAGATCCACAATCAATGCTTATGGAAGCAGCGGTCAAGAGATCAAAAGAGGGGTTGCATTAGGTAAATCTCCTGCCCAAGACTGCATTAGCATATTGAAAAATAAGGATGTTACTTTGAGGACCAAAGTGCACCTGTCCCAAGCCATGGTGTTGTCCATTGCCTCATATGCATATGAAAGTTGGACACCGAATAAGGGAGACTGAATAAGAATTGATGCATCTGAATTGAGAAGCTGGAGAAGAATTTTGAAAGTATCATGGACTGCTAAAAGGATAAACTGATTTGTCTCCGAAGAAATACTACCAGAGTGTTCCTTAGAGCCAAGCCTTAGAGCCTTCTTATATACTTTGGGCTTGTGGTCAGGAGATAGCAGTCCCAGGAGAAAGACGTCAAGTTTGGGGAAGTAGAGGGCAGTGAAAAAGAGGAAGGCCCTGAAAGAGGTAGACTGACAACAGTGGCTGCAACAAGGGGCTCCAACACCAGAACAAGTGTTATGATGCTGAACAGGACCAGCAGTGTTTCCTTGTGTTGTGCTTAAGGTCGCTATGGGTTGGAGCTGCCTCTATTGCACCTAACAGCAACAGCACTATTCTTCTACCTGGGCGACTGAATCCTTCTAGTCAAGAGGACCTAAGTAATAATTACCACTTAATATTCATGATCGCGAACCTGGTGGCCCAGTGGTTAAATGCTACTGCTAACCAAAAAGTAAGAGGTTCAAACCCACTAGATGCTTCATGGGAGAAAGATGTGACACAGTTCGCTTCTATAAAGATTTCAGCCTTGGAAACTCTGTCCTAGAGGGTTGCTGTGAGTCAGAACCAAGTTGATGGCCACAGGTCGCCTGATGTACGTACTCGCTACTTACTGTGTTTCTCCAGTTAGTTCCGTCTCTCATTCAGGAGAGAGTGTTTCAAAGCTTCCTCTCTCTCCTTGGAAACACTTCCAGCCCTCTGCATTCACCTCTCTGTCACGGGAACTGACCTTCCCTACTGTTACTTAACGAAGCAGAAGCCTCAAAAAGAAACTCTTGTCGTCATCTACCAACAGAGCTACATATCAGACTGAATCCACACTCACCTTTCATCATTTCCTTCTGTTACAGTGGAGGAAGAATCTCTTCTATTGAGATGGACAGGCCTATCTATCCACATACTTGAGCATCCACACTCTCCTGAATTCTCAAAGCCGATATACACTTCATCACTGATGATTCTTTCCATGTGCCACGATTTCTCCTCCCAACAACAAAATGAACAATTCCCCGTTGCCTCATAGGCATGTGAAAGTTGGACAGTGAATACGGAAGACTGAAGAAGAACTGATGTATTTGAATTATGGTTTTGGAGAAGGATATTGAAAATATCATGAACTGCCACAAGAACAAACAAATCTGTCTTGGAAGAAGCAAAGCCAGAATGCTTCTTAGATGTAAAGATAGTGTCTCACATACTTTGGACATGGTATCAGGGGAGACCAGTCCTTGGTAAAAATCCATCATGCTTGGTTAAGTGGGGGGTCAGTGAAAAAGAGGAAGACCTTCCATATCATGGATTCACCAGTGGTTGCAACAACCTAATTATTTGGGGCTCCAGCCTAATACAGTGAACCCTCATTTATCGCGGTTAATTGGTTCTAGACCCTACCATGATAAATGAAATTCCGCGAAGTAGGATTCTTTATTTGTAAATCAAATATTTTCGTAGTTAGAGCATAGAGGACATGAAAAAACACCCTTTAGTCACCATTACACTCGTATTACCCAATTTATTAAACGAAAAAGGGAAAATACAGTAAAACATTTTGGACGTTACAATTATCATTTATTATTATATTATTTATGGCATCAAGCGTGCACAGTATGAGCCAATCAGTGACAGTAATGACAGAGCATGCGCTATTACGCCAAAACCGCGATAGAGTGAAGCCGCGGAAGTCGAAGCGTGAAGTGGCGAGGGTTCACTGTATGTTGAGGATGGCACAGAACCAGGCAGCATTTCACTCTACTGTTGCTATGATAGGGTTGCTAGGAGTTGGAACCAACTTGACGGCCTCTATAAAATATTTCCCTTAACCTTCAAACCCTTCCCTTCCCTCAGCTTCCATCCTTTCTTTCAAATGCCCTTGATGGCTAAACTTAAGAAAGACTTGGCTGCCATTCATATATTTACTTTCTCATTTCTATCTGTTCCTCCACTTGCTGTTTTTATTGAGAGTCACCAATATCATCTCGATATCACTGCATCCAGTTGGTACTCTTTGGCTGCACCTTCTACCATTTGCTACCTCTCAACGTTTTTCTGGAAAGGTTCTCTTAGCTTGTGACCGTGCTCACCTCACTCCCCTCCTCCTCCGAGCTGCTCCGTGCCAGTCTCCTTTGCAGGTGCTTTCTCTCCTAAACCCTCTTTACGCCCTGTAGTTTTTCTCAGGACTCACCCGTAGGGCTTTTTACCTTTTCTCAAGGGGATCTCATTCACTTCTATTATCATGTAAGTGAAAGTTACTCCAGATTCATGTTTAGCGTAGACCCATTTCATACACACCAATTGCTATCTACTAGTAAACCACGAAGACAAGCTTACCTGGATGTGCGCAACTGTTTTTCCAAAAGCTTTTCTTTGTTTGACGTAGTTTCTGGTTTCTTCAAACATGAATTCACAGGCAGAAATGGCCAATTCAGATATCAATAGCCGTTCCTGTAACCCCAAAATTGGTCTTGAACATTATTCTAATTACAGAAATGACTATCACATGATTTCCATTATGTGTCCCATACAAAATATCTACAAAACTCCTAAGCATTGATTTCTTTCTTTTAAAAAAGTTTTATTGACATCTAATTCATGTACCATATAATGTAATGCTTTGAATATTGATTTGTTCCTTAACTCTTTAAATCTACAGAGATTTATGACATTTTGATATATCTATAATAAATTTCTAAAGCCAATTATCTTTATGAATGCCTTTCCTTATTGTATATCAATATATACCCTTTAGCTTATTTAATGCCCTATTCTCTCTCTAATTCATAAATGAATAAAGAAATCTCATAGTTCTTGATTTTTATTTATTGATCTCTATGTATCATATATCCTGATCCCTCTGCAGAAATTGATATCTTAAAATTGCATAGTTTAAATTCTACCTACAATTGTAAATGTACCCAGAGTCACTTTAATTTATCTTAGGATATCTTCTTTCCATGCTGTTGCTTTTAACCTTTGTCTCAATTTCATGTTTAGCTCATGTTGCATTCACCAGAGCCCTCGTGGCATAGTGGTTACAGGTTGGGCTGCTAACTACAAGCTCAGCAGTTCAAAACCACCAGTGGCTGCATGGGAGAAAGATGGGGCTTTCTACTCCTGTAAAAGATTTCCAGTCTCAGCAGCTCACAGAGGCTGTTCTAGCCTGTCCTATGGGGTAGCTGTGAGTCAGAATCAACTCGATGGCAGTGAGCTTCTTTATTTTTTGGTGACAGTCACCAAGGAGGTTAATTCCCTTTCATTGGCATTTATGGCTCAATGATCCCTATAAATATAAATTGTCAAGGGACAGGTGAAGGAAGTGACCTTTGAGGCTAAAGCTTTTGAGTCTCAATTTAATTTCTCTTTTAATTCAGTTATTATAAGAAAGTGCCCAATGCCTTAGTTGACATTTTCTTTTTTTTTCTTTGACATTTTCTTACAAGGACCACAAGTTCTTCACTGCTAGTTCAGAACCTGAAGTCTTTCCAATAAAAAGTTACAGAACCAAGCACTTATTTTTCCTGCCCACTTTGTAAGTTTTGATTAGGCAGCCCTGAAGTTCGTTATGTATCTAGCCTACGAATCTCTTACGCTTTTTACAATTTTAAGTAATAATCAAATTACTGGTTAGATCTTAAGTTTTGCACACATGAATTTTTATAGTTCCACCCCAACTTATTTTTAATGCAAGAAGATGGAATCTTTAAACACTTCTCACCTGTGGAAGCTCTTTCATGAGGTAATAGAAGCCCTTGTTTTCTTCTCCAAGGAGAGCATTTGCTGGCAACCTCACATCTTCAAAGAAGAGTTCAGCAGTATCCTGAAAAGCCAAAGGATTAAGTAGAGAATGAGCTCATTCAAACCTCCCAGTAACCCAATGAGGTAAATATTATTACTCCCCTTTAAGGAACAATAAACAAAAAGTAAACAAAACTGAAGCTAAGTTGCGGTGGTTAAATAACATAGCTGAATTTGTGTTAGGCATTGGGCTGAAAAATGCAAGCTTGGTGGTTCAAACCCACCAGCTGCCCCCTGGGAGAAAGATGAGGCTGTCTGCTCCCGTAAAGAGCTACTGTCTCTGAAACCCTGTGCCGGAGTGCTCTGAGTTAGAATAAACTTATGGCAGTAGGTTTGGTTCTTGGGTTCTAATAAATGGTGATTGGTAAACCAGGGATAAAAACCCAAGTCAGTCCAACTTCAAAGCTCATGCCTTCCCCACAGCTGGGCTCTGTCTTTCTGGCGCTTCTGTTAATTGTTAGATGTTGGCAAGTCACTTCTGACTCAAAGTGATAGACTCTATGTACAAGAGAACGGAACCCTACCCAATCCTGCACCATCCTCACAGTTGTTCTTATGTTTGAGCATATTCCTTCAGCCACAGTGCCAATGGATCCCTTTGAAAGTCTTCTGCTTTTCCGCTTCCCTCTACTTGAGCAAGGATGATGTCCTTTTCCAGAGGCTGGTCTTCCTGATAACATGTCCAAAGTATGTGAGAGGAAGTCTTACCATCCCTGTTTCTAATGAGCGTTCTGGTTATATTTCTCTCAAGACAGGTCTGTTTGCTCTTTTGGCAGTCCATGGTGCTTTCAATATTCTTTGCCAGCACCATAATTCGAATGCATTGATAATTCAATACATCTTTATAATTCAAAACTGCTACCTAGTCAATACCCAACTAGCTCTATTGGTGTTCAGTTGTTTTATATACTGAGCGCTAAGAATTTCTAATGTCTACTAAATATAAATAGATATACAATTAATTTTTAGTAACTATATAATACATAGAAGGAAAATATTTTCTTTTTTTTAAACCAATTTATTAGGGGGTCATACAACTCTTATCACAATCCATACACACAT